CATAGCCAAGTTCAGGTTACCCTTGTCATCGACAGATCTGAGATTGCATCCGTTACTTAAACGGGTGTATAAAGATCTACATTTATGTTTACTGAAATGAATGGCCCTGGATTCCTCTTCATTTCACCCTTCATGAAATGATTTCAAGATTTAAATAATGTGAAAAATGATACCCAGATATTTCCTCATTATCGTAACAAGGGTTTAAGTGTTCCATGCCTTCTTTTTTCTATCGCATGTACCCAGTAGGTTAAATTAAAGGTCAACTACCAGAGGCATGCAACCTTTTTAGATGGGGACCTTCGACTGAATGTTTTCTGTTTAGATAATGATGTCACATCAACAATATTATTTTGATAAACACCACATGTAATATCCTCTGATGCTTTCATAATAGATTGCCGATGTGGAGGTTTGTCCCGGCTAATTGACCTCACCGTAAAAAGGACTTTACAACCATTGACAGTACATAGCATTGGTGTCCTTTTTGCAGTGAGCCGACGTAATTTCTGCCTAGGTTACAAATGAGGCCTAAATCTTAAGTCCCAGATATAAGGCATGCTTTCATTGCGTTATAAGACGATACTTAACCCTTTGACTGCGTATTACACGATATAGATGAAGTTAACTCAGGCAATAATGTGACAGGCATGCCAAGAGAAGAATATGGGTAAATATTAATATGGAAGATGATGATGGGAATGTTTTTTTTTATAGTACAAGGGTCAAATAAATTGAATCACATGTATCCATCAACGCTAAATGTCTAAAAAGTACATCTAATAACAAACTATTCAACAATTTATTATGGAAAAGTATGTTAATGTATGAAGAAAAATCTCCTCGGTGTAATCTCCCGGTGTTTTCGAATTCATTACCAAAATATATTCCCCTTTGCAATAACCAAAGATTTTTTTTTTTTAAATCAGAAAAATTATTCTTTGTCCGAATACTGACATAAAACACAACCATATTTTACACGATGCTGTTTCTCTGGCTTATTTTTTGTTAATATATTGCTTGTTTTTAATTTGTTTACATGTCTTTCAGTAACAGAATAAGTTGAAGAAAAAAACCAAATGATAATTTTATATTTTTAGGGAACTTATTTTACAAGGCCCTTTTGCCTTATTTTATTTCTCCTTTCCGAATGGTAAATTTGGTGTCTTTGATACTGTTAACATGTATGATTGCATATAAAAAATTTAAAAAAAACATTTAAAAAATGTAAAATGTTGTATTGATCTATTGTTTTTATATGAAGATGGAAATAAATGAACAAATGAAATGAAATGAAATAATTCCTGGTTTACCCTAACATAAACACTGATAGAAGGAGGCGCGGTGGCTTAGTGGTAGAGCGATGGCCTTCTGACGGGGATGACATGGATTCGAAAACTAGTCGATGCGCTAGTGCCCTTGGATAAAGTATCAATCCTCATTACCAAGTCCATTAGAGAGGACTTAAAGCTGCCGGTTCCATGTTTGCTTTAACATTCAAACATACAAATGCCTGGTCAGGTAAAACACACCCTCACATCATCACACATCGTATATCAAACATTGTATATGAAGGGCATAATGGTGTAATATATCTTTGTTTCCCAAGAGCATAAGAGGGTTGGGTGCATGCACATTCAACTGAAACTTAAGTTAATTAATCTTTAAGTAGACAAAACTTTGTAGGTTCCTTGTATAAGTTCTTTTAAAAAAGGTGAAATAATTTCCAGGAGAAAAAATTACTATAAAATTATCTGCATAACCTAAAAGCAAAGATGCACTCACCCCACCCCTCCCCCTCCTTTCAAATCCCCACAAGAACAGGAGGGGACGACGAAAGGAAATCTCTTGTCAACAAGAGATTCTAAAAAGATAAGGAAATATGTTTGAGGCAATACCAATCATACCAGTCTCAATTTATTAATCATTGCTTGACATAAATCTTTAAATCTCGCAAGAAGACATGTCTGAATGTTATTAAGCTCGGGAAAATTCATTATTCATTTAATCTATTTTTAAATGCAAAACGAGAGGAGCTTTAATATTGCCGACAAATATCGGAAGCGCTGTAAATATCTTTAATGTCAATATCAACTTCATTTTAATGAAAGGAAGGAATTCATAAAGTACAATTATTAGGGGAAGGGACAGCTTCAGTCTATGTTTAAAAAATCTGGAATAATTGATTATGATTATGTTGATGAGTAAATGGATTTATATCGTGTAAGAAGAAATAACATGTTTCCAAACATTTCCTTTAGCAAAAGTAAAGGGAGCTTTTTGGAAGAAAACCGAGATATGTATAATTGTGAGTATAACAAACGGAATGAAAGCTTTAAAAATGCAATTTCAGTAATGGGATTTAGGACTGCAAACAAATTATGAATTTCTCTTTCCTTCATCGAATAATTGTAAAAAGAATTGCTGTTATAGTCCGATTATCTGTATTTTTTCAAATCAAATATATGTTAGATTGACTAACTAAGTCAGAGTTGAAGACTCTCACTACAAACAAAATTTAGGTACATATATTGGATGATTTGGGCAACAGGTTTAAAGATTTATGATTAAAAAAGTGATGATGAGCAGAGCCCATGAAAATGCAATGGTAAAGATCCCGGATGGCTAGGTACTTTTGAATAATGACGTAGCTCGTAGGAATAACCACATTCATGAGGTTTCCGAATCATCAAAAACATATAAGACAGTAACAAAGTCTTTTCCAAAATCACAATTACTGAAAAGTGCTTTACGCTGAAATGGGTAAAAAAAAAACAACTACCATATCAGTTAAGTACGCTTGGTCAATACAGACAGAGTTGTAGTTTTGTTACTAACAATCTGCAACCCTTTATGTACCAAACTAAAAGCATTCACATATGCCTACTTTGCAATTATACCATGTAAAACTTCTCGTTTGATACCTCAGCAATAAGAACCTTATGGCTATATAAACGAATTCGTTTATTGCACATAAATTCTACATTACAAGTTTCTAATGTGATTGGCAATCAGCCGTTGCAAATAAAATTGGAAGCATCGTCCAAACGTTGGTTAATCACCAACTCGGGTCATTATATTGAATCAAAGCAATATCCGACGATGACATCCAAAGAAATTGAACCTTAAATTCTGGCATAGGGGGATAACTGGGATGAAATTATTTGAATATGGTTTCACATTGCCAATGGCATTTACTCCCCGAATGCAAAATAATCCTACAAGATTCGTACAAATTATTATTCTAAATGAAACTAATATCCAATTAAGTTTACCTTGTACATTTTCGGGTAAAGCTTCTAAGAAAACGTGAATTCCACGCTGCTGTTGTGGAATGGTTCGTTTTAGATGTATCGAATCCTCTTTCTAACTCAGATATTTGAAACAATTTATGTTGCCCCCCCCCCCCCCCCCCATTGAAACGAATTATTCTGTACTGGCTCGTCTGTTCTCTTCTACTTAATCATCCTAGCATTGCCTCATTACCTTAATGTTTCCTTCAGTTTTCTATTCTATTTTTGTTACCTCCTATAAACTTTCCTTTGAATTTATTATATTTTACCAAGTGGAATTACAAGGTTGAAACTTAAATTTAGAAAAGGCCATCAAAATGTGATTCACTGGTATTTCCTTCAAATCTAAGCCAATGTAAAAAAGACAAAAACATTCATGGCAGCATAACGACAGCAATGTTACCCCAGCCTTTGGTTTGATCTCAATCTTTTTAAATATCACTGAAGACGCAGTAAACAACTGCAATAACAAAAACAAAAACAAAAAACGCCGACGCCGATCTTTAGGTGTGAACGAATGGCATATGCGCGCGACAAAAAACGTGTTACGCGTAGTTACTGAGATCTATAAGGTGCAGAAAGTGTGAAGCGTATAAAAAACCGCCATGGTTTACCAATTCAATTCTGAGATGGCGGATAACGCTGCGCATGAACGTAACATGGAAGACATAAATTAAACAGATTGCATGTGTGTGTAATCCAGAGAGAGGGAGCATAAGAGAAAGGTGGTAGCGAAATTGCGTTGATACAAATATTTGACTCGCCGTAGTTTTACCAATAGAACTGAATTCCAGACAGAAGTGGAATTTTAATGTCATTAATTTAATGTTATAAATCACGATCTTCGTTGGCCTTCACAAGTAATTTGTTTTCCCAGGTGAATTAAAAATTTTCATATATAATCAATGCAATAGGGGAAACACTGCAGGGTGTTGGCCTCGTAAACAATACAAATAAAGATGAGCTGCATAATTAAAATAATGAAATTTTGCGAGGGAACAACCAGCAAATGCTACTGATCACACATACAACCGACAATATGACATTGGGGAGGGCGTCCCAATGTTTTTTGCCGAATGCAACAACTCTCTCTCTCTCTTTACCAAAGTAATGCTTTGAAAAAATATTGATAATTTATTTTCTCTTCTAGCCATATATTCTCTAGCTCATTAGATGTAACACATCAGCAAAAATAAATCCAGATTTGACACAAATGCAATGAAGAAAAAGGAGGCTATCCAAGTACATGTAGACCAATAACCCAAGCAAGAAAATGACGGCCAACGAGACATATTATGTCGGTCTTACCATGGTCGTGTACGGGCCTTCTGAAAATTTATTTGACCGTTCATGGGACCGACATTGTTGGTCTCGTAGGCTCTCGGCCTCGTGGATTGTCCGTCCATTTGGATGACCCGCTTTGTGTCAAACCTAGCTTGACTGAAGTGGAAGAATGTCCTCAATAACGTTAGTCGCCAAAAGTTACCGGCCACTGGACACTGTCCAGTATAACCCAAGGTGAATATCTCGAGAAATTGACAGGATGCGATTCATTGCACCCTCGTTTAATTAATTCGTGTTCCATTTCCATTAAAAAAGTCACAGGCCATTGAATTGTAATTAGACTTTGGGATTAAGGTCGGATTATTTATGTTTAGCATGCGTTTACTCTTGACCAATATTCATGTGGCTGACTGATACTTTACCTTTTTTTTTTTGCTGCATGGTCCAATTCTTAACCTCCGGTCATTTATTCTGGTATTCTTCACGCTTCATGCATTGCTCAAAGAATTCATATGATAAACATCCAAAAACTCTTTCTTCTATTATCTCATATTTACATCTCTTTTATTTCTTTGCCTCATCATCGCTTTAATCTTAAAATTACATCAATAAAAATGATAGCCTTTTTTGGTTTTGCTTGCTTTCTCTACCTACGACCTATCTCTATCTCTATCTCTTTTCCGCAGCTCCAATCTTTTTTTCCTCTATCTGCGTTGATGTGCACATGCTTCCTTTTTTTTTTTTTTAATCTATCTCTCAATTCGTCCCTCATCCTCTCTCTATCTCTCTCTTTCTCTCTATGGACCTCTTTTTCTCTTCCTATTTCAAGATATAGTGCTCTATTGTAACAATGCGCGAAGGTATTGCAATTGATTTGAAATAAGACGGTGAAAGCGTGCTTGCTGGCCGCAAAAAATTACCGAAAGCCACTTGCCGTTTATCAATTCATTTCCTCGACCACAACCCCTTTTATGTCTCACTCAATTGGCTTCAGCCAATTCAGAATGCTTAATGAAATTATTTTGGGGAACGGCATCTCTACCTTAAAGTTGTGTGTCCCTCCTAACTCCTTTGGATGAACTCTCCAGCACTTTCCAGGTCCACAACAGTATTCCGACGCTTCTCGAAGCTTGCCTCCAATCTGTGAAACAAGAAGAATGGGTACAGTATGAAGCATTGAAATGGAATACAGCAGCTCTATTTTACGCTTACACAGGAATGGCAATTCAAGCTCGATTATTTCTCACAAATATTCTTTCTTTTTAATGAAATGAATATAAAGTATTACAGGAGAGCGAAACCAAGGAATATTTCGTCAACGAACATGACCATGATGCTCACATGGCTCTACAGATATGGAATAGTGAAGGGAATGAAGGGAAACGTCTTGCAGTAGCTTCTAAAATATTTTCAATTCAATTCAATTCAAATCAATTCAATCATATCAATTCAATTCATATCTTGGTTTTAATCAAGATTGGAGTTCGGAAAGTATAGTAATCACGTTGGGATAATAACCAAGTCACATCAACGAGACCGACAACAGACCGACAACAGATCGACAACATACCGAACAAAAATATTTAAAAAACACGTTACCCTGAGTAGGCAAGGATCAGTTGGTTTGGCGATAATAATAAGAATATCAATAATTGTTATTAGCAAACCCCATCACCATCAATGCTGTAGTTTTCCAGAGGGCCCTGCAATTATTATGACCCCAGAAATAACCAGATATCCACCTGGGTGGAGAGTGCCAAATGTGGATAAATATCCACAGGACGTTACAGCCGGGATTGGGATTTGACACCTCAACCCCTTTGATTTAAAGTCAAGTGAATAAACCTACACCATGACATCTACACTGGTTGTTGGCTGTTGTGTAAGTTTAGAAATAACGTCGTTGGTGAAGCTAAATCTTTGATTGGCGGAAAGAGAACCCTCCAAAACTCTCCTTTATCACGTAAACATGGGCGAGGATAATCAGCTTCGTGTCAAGACCTACCCTGGCACTGATCCCTGGAAACCCGATACTAACAATCACTGGCATTCCTTTACAATTCCAGTCACAATTGTCGGTATTTTATCTCTTTCTTTGCGCCAAGGATTTATTTGTGATAGACGTATCCGGGTCAGAGCATCCAAGAGACACAAATTTCCGAAAACGTCTCGAATTTTTCCTCGGGAATTTAAGGTTCTGATAAGTAAGATTACGCTGGGATCCGCTGTTCCTACCTTGTATCCATTCATTTCTTGACAGGATCGCAAACGGCGGCTTTTTTTGAGAATAAATCCTTGTTATTCAATTAAGTTAAATTCAGTTCAAGGTTTATCAAAAACATGAGTCGCAGCCCAATGGCTGAATTGGTCATGTGTACAATTAAAAGACTCATTACATATTTCAAACATAAAATACAGTTACAATAGATGCGTAAACGTCAGTATCTTAGTTTCATACATGAATTTTACTTCAAAACATGGAATGCCAGTGCAATATTACCATTGAAAACGAAGAAATGTACCTTTTGAAGTTATTAGAGTCTGAAAGTATCTTATCTTATCTACTAAAACGGTAGATACTAAAGATTTGACAGGGCTCTTCAGGAACTGACGTAATGGGATATATGAACTGCAATTTCACCCAAACATGATATTCATAAGTAAAGATATGCGATTGAGAAGTAATCAAATAGCAATTCAACATTTTCACGCATTTTCACGCATCTTCCAAACCATGTGGGAGCATCATCAACATTACGAGGTGTCCGAAACACGCAATCGTCACCAAAGATTGCATTCCAATTTGGACGATACTCAGCAAAGTGGCAGGCCCGTGTGACAAAGGCTTATGGGGAAACCAAACTTGATAGCACGTTGCTCTGAACGAAGGCAGAAATATCAGATAGCTGGATTTGCCGAATTTTAAAAGAATTCTGATTAAAACTGATTACGATGATGACGATTAGTACTATAATTACCATTATTAGCATTATCTTTTTCATTATTGTTGTACTATTATTACCGCTATCATCATGACTTATTATTGAGTGATCAGAACACATACGTACATTTCAATAAAAGGCACATCAGAACTTTCACTTTGAGGTAAAATCAGACAACTGTCTTTGCTCCAACAAACAATATATCTACAAAAGTGTTTCTCATTCTCATCAGGACACATAGAATCATCACATACATAACATTTCTTGAGTATAGCCTCAATGCAAATAAATACTTGAGAGAAACTGATATATCATATGTAACAAGTATAGATTCACACATATTGTAATGTTTTGAACTTAACTTTCACAATTTTCTAGTTACTTTTCCCATTTCTTTCAACCTTTCACCAAACCGTTGAAAACAAATTGAATTTGAGACTGGGAATTGCACGGATTGTAGGTATTATAACTTTCAGACTTTTATTTATTCATTTTCTTTCAATCTTTCAACAACCTGTTTCATTGTTAGAATTCGGATTCACACTGTTTGTAGGGATTACATTGTTCATAGTTTTCTAGTTAATTGGCCAAAAGCTTATTTTCACCACACTGTCTCTAAGACTTGTTTAGCTTTCATTCATTTCATCTTGTTAGAGAGGGTTTAAGGTTAGGGCTACGATAAGGTTTAGTGTTTGGTCTGGGGTTGAAGTTTTGAATTGTATTAGCGAAGGATATTGACCGCGGATCAAATGTCGCTGAATCATAATGTCATACAATCTCGTACAAATGGTCGGCATTATTTTATCAGCCGTAGAGGCGTGTTTCTATACTATAGACACAACATAAGGTCCCATGTGCATCGGGCAGGGTTAGGGTTAGGGTTACATTTGTGGCTATAATTATTTAGAAACATGCTCCTAAAACAAATTGAACAATGCCTATCCATACAAATGTAAGGATTTTAACTTTCTGTTTTTATGATTTAACTTGCTTTCGTACTTTTCATGTTAACTTGTTATAAAGGTTATATGAACTTTAGGGCTACCCAACTATGTATTATGATATACTGATAAACATGATGACGACCCTCTCGGGGATTTGCGAAAGCAGAAAGTGGCTTTGATCAGCGGTGAGGAAGATGAATCAGAAGGGGTGTCAGAGGAGTTAGAAAAAGGCTATACAAGACAGATACTGACAGAGGGATAGGAAATGCAAAAATGCCACGAAGACTTAATAGCAATTTCAGCTATCAAATTAACCTAAAGGCTCGATGAGCAAACCGTTTATCACCTCGGCTTCCCGTAAGAGAGCTGAAAGTGCTATGTATTATCAATGGCAGTAATGGCCTTTTAGCTGGAAGCCGGAGAGGAATATCAGAAGATATAAAGGTGACGGGATAAAGCAAAAGTTATGAGCTTGGATAATGGTTAAGATGATTATAGCCCTATAAGTAAGTGTCGGAGGGGTCATTGAAGGGACTTTGAGGTGAGGAAAAGGTTAACGGAACAGATCAAATGGTGGATACAGGTTTGGGAACCCTAACTCCATACGCTAAAGAGAGAGAGAGAGAGAATTAAAGGTTTTTAAAAATAACTATAAATAGTAAAGAACCCCGGAAGAAAAGTGTGTATTCGAAGAGCAATATAGAGGAGAGGGAGGGGCGAGAGGGGGTGGTGGGTTGAGGGGGTAATAATATGATTATATAGTAATAATAAAACGTCTTGTGGACCAATGGTCATCAAGATTAATACTGTTTTCCCTGACGACCTGCGTTTATTATTGCTCCCGAGTTTAGCCGAGCTACCCTGAGAAGGCGCCCAAGCATTCACGGAATGTCTTTCTCCCCGGTACCCATTGAATAAACCTGGATGGAGAGTGGCAAGTTTAGATTAATAACTTGACAAAGAATATTAGTGCCGCAGCAGAACTGCAAACCATGTGAGTCGCAGTCCATCGACTTATCCACTAGACACGAAACCCCTACTGTAGGGTGCAGAAGGTGTACATTTCCGAATTGTCTAGTCTGATTAACATGTCTCCTGTGTAGAGCCCATTCTAACAAATATGAAATGTAATAATAATAGAAAACAGTTCCGAATGGAAATAGTACGAGAGGGGAAAGGAAATTAGAAAGTATAATGAGCCAGCTTTGCAATACAACCCGCTCCTCTTCCTCTCGACGCCCTTAGAATGACATAGCTTTGATATTCATGAAACATTATCTGATAAATCTTACAGCTTGGGGCATTGTTGAAGTACCTATATCAACTCCTTCAGATAAGCATCAGCCTCAAGTGGATAACATCATGTTCTTCGATAATGTACATGTGCGTCTCAGAACTAAAAGAAGAGTGTTGATTCTGTTCGGAGGCATTGCTTTGCATTAAAGGTAAAGACCAGTATTGGAAATGCCCAAATTTAAAAAAAAATGAAATGGAAGCTCTTATTACCAATCATGTGAAAGTGTATGTTTCGACTACTGTAATACATGATAAAAATTTTGCCGGGAAACCGCCTGCTAATTGATATATTTGGTAAATTAGTTTATCTATTGGTGTGTGAGAGATACACGCACGTGTCGCGCACGTGTGCGTTGTCCCATATACATCTTTCTGTGTACAGTGCTTGTAACTTTACGAAGACTGGGCCAAATTTCTTATCATTTTGATGATTCCAGAACCTTGCAGTACAAACCAATACTTATATGCTAGATGATAAACCTTTTCTGATCGATTCCACGTTTCTTTCACAATGCAATCGCATGACCATAACTGATCTTTATCTTTAAATGTTACAGCTGGTACTGTGTTATAGAGAACTGTCAACAAGCCCTACGATGTATGATTATGTTATAAAAAAATGTAACATCTCTGACATTGAAATAAGACAAAAGAAATCATCATGACCATGACATTTTCATGAATGGTACCCCTTGTCGCCAATATTGGAACGGAGTCCATGACCCTATTGAATTTCCTAAAAAATTGTGTTCGGATGACGTATTATTTCATTGTAATGTCTATCATTTCAAAAGGTGATGGGCAAGACATTGCGTTAATTACGTTAATTGCGTTAATTGCGTTAATAGCATTAATTTCGTTAATCGCATTAATTGCGTTAATTTTTCAAAGTCTATGCGACCGTGTTTTCATGTAAATTTGGTGAGGACTACAGGAATTTCTTGACTTCTCCCACGGTT